ATACGGTATCTTGAAAACCGTTCGAACTAAACGAGAGCACCTTTTTTATGTAAAAAAGTTCTATATTTTTATGTAATTTGTTAAAAATACTGTATCTATAATTCTATAAGGATAAAAGAAGTACTACCCGGAGTACTCTCTACCCTAATGGAAGGTACGCTTTCAGGGCTGTTAGGGAATTTTCCATGACCACCATTCGCTCTGACATTAAAATGTGTGTAAGAGTACCAAATTTCAGGAAAAACGATTAACCAATGTTCTTAAAAATAATCGAAATATATTATTTTTATTTAATATTTCGAGGACTGTACCTGGTTCGGGAAGCATTTCTGGGCATATGTTTATAGGAACTTTTTTGTTTTATTTTTATCTGTAAAATCACACCTTTGCTCACTATCACCTAACCAAAGTTAGATATGTACACTATTTTTTGACACCTAGTACAGGGTGGCTCATACGACGCGGAAGCTTCAAGTAGAATTCTTCAAGAAGAATTTTGTGAGCATATTTAGGTTAATTTAGAGCATCTTTTAAAAATATAGAGAGTTCTACAGAGCGTGCCCCAAAAAGTTACACATCAAAGTATTTTTTTTGTATGGAACGTCCCATATTATATTAATTGATTTTCGGATTCTAGTAGAAAAATAAAGGTAATTTTATTAGAGAGTAAGGTAAGGAGTAAGGTAAGGGGTAAAATAAAGATAGGAGTAAAGCTATTTTATTAGAGAAGAATATGACTAAAATCTAAAGTTTTTGACATATTTAACATTTTCTAAAAATGAAGAACAATTTTTAAATTTCAATAAAAGCTACCTAAATTGGAATATACTCGGTATAGATAGCCCAAAAAGTTATACAGGGCGAGGCGAATAGAAATGACTGCTTTTCGAAGTAGAACATCACATATAACTTTTAACATAAAAAAGACTTTTGACAAGAGAATCATTTTATGCAGCGAACAGAAAAGGAAACATATTGGGCATTTTATTTCATCTAGCTAATTTTTGTGTCATAATTATACGCTTATATCTAGTTTTAATTCTGTAACAATTAAAATATGTTAAACGTGTATCTTTTTAGTACCGTTGAGTATTTTACTACCATGGACCGTGGACTGCACATGCCACCAACGAAGAAGTTTTAAGAACTGCAGGTTATGAACGAGAAATGCTTAGTACAGTTAAAGAAAGAAAAGTTTCATACCTCGGCCATATCCTTAGAGGAGACAAATATTACATTCCTAAGCTGATTCTACAAGGAAAAATAGAGGGACGGCGAGGCCCAGGAAGAAAACAACATTCCTGGCGAGGAACATACTGGATTGGTGTAATATCTGCGACGCAGCCACCATATTTCGAAGAACTGAAAACGGCACTCTACACATTGTGTGAAGAGTACAGACAATCGCCAACGTGCAGCTAAGCACAAGGCACAGGAAGAAGAAGAAGAGTATTTTACTCTACATCCTTTAATTTTTGTTAATTTAACAAAAGGTATATCACAGCCACCTAGACTTTAACAAATAATAAAGATCTATTGAGGCAAAATCATAAAAATGAAAATATCTCCGAAAATGTTTGTCTGAGAGATAGGGAACCTTAAAAAAAAAAGATATATAAGAAGATATATGAATTCTACATTTAATACCGGTATATATATATACTGGGTGTTGCATTTAAAATAAAGAAAGTAACTTGCTTTTAAAAATGGCCAATATTTAGTATACATTTTGTCTCGCCCTGTACAACTTTTCGGGACAAATTTTAATTTGGTTTAAGGTACAATGGTTATTGTAATTAAATATCAGGGTATACAGGGTAAATCACAATTTAGGTAGATGTTTTTGAAATTTAAAATTTATTCTGCATTTTTACAAAATGTGAAATATGTCAAAATCCTTACAAGCTAGGCATATGCTTCTTTAATAAAACTCACCTTTATTTTTTTCCTAGAATCCGAAAATCAATTAATATATTAGGTGTTCCATTACAAAAAAAAACAACTTTTGATAGGTAATTTTTTTGGGAACACCGTGTATAACTCTATATTTTTATAAAATGCTTTCAATTAACCTACATATGCTCCCAAAATTCATTTCGGTATAAACTCCCGTTCTCCTTGGAGCCTCCGCGTTGTATGAGAGGCGCCACCCTGTATAATACAATATAGTCAAATTAGTACATAATTCTGACTAGTGTAAAAATCAGCTCGTTTATTTTAACATATTTTTACTAATTGAAAAATGAAAGGGGCCTAGCAAAGATGATGTCGCCGACCTCTAATTTCATCTAGCGTTTCATCTGTATATGTTTCTTGTTTTGTCAAATATTGGCATGCACTCCTACACATATCTGTTAGAAGTAATATTACAATACGCTCGGAATAATAAGTATCTGGATAGAATCACGACGAACCAAAAGTAAGTTTGAATATAAGTCCAAATACGCAAAATGAAGAGAGCCGTATCATTTGCAGAAATAGCTGGATGGATTAAATATTTCAATAGAATATAAAGTGACATCTCGTCGTGCGGAGAATTGGCCATATTAAAGAACATTGGTAATTTGGACTATAATTTACATTTTCCGTTAATTCGATCATTAATATGGCGGAGCGATAGCTTCCGTTTACTCCAAGTTTACTCGATACTGCTTAAATTTTGTTTGAATATAAAGTATTCGATTTAGGGACGAAAAATTTTACAAAAAGAACGAAGTTTCGCAAAAGCATAGAACAGTCTTCCTCAAAGACAAAAGATAAGAACACTTAAAACTTAGAAGGGTTTAAATGGGACACTTGTCTCCTTGCCTGAGCCACGGAAACTAATTATTTATACTATTCTTGTGTCGTCACTTAAAATGCTTAGCTTAGAAATTTTAGAGCTATCCGTTTATTCCAGACAATATAAATTTTCAAGGCATTTTTAGTTTCACGAGGACTGTAGTAGCATACATCAGCAAACATACGTAATTTTCCCTGTTTGACAAAGTTGGTTAAACTAGTTAATATATTGCCCGGAGTTACTAAAGTTAACTTCTCATTACCTTTGTTAGGTTTAAGATAGTTATACATTTTGAAAGAAAAATAAAAGCCAAATTTTAACGTTGGATGCAGATAACATGCCCTGTATAATTAATTATCATTCATACATACTTTTCGTTTTATAAAGAAGTAAAATTATAGACTTGTTTATTTTGTAGCCAAAAATAGGTAAGCACTTAAAAATTACAGTTTCTGTTCAGGGTGTTTCTTAAATAAGTACAATTTTAACTGGTAGTTCAACCCCAGAAACATGTTTATAAGTTTTTTTGAGAAAAAAAAAAAACATTATACATTCCATATTATAGGAAATATTTTTAATCGTTTCAACATCAACAGTTATAACCTTTAAATATTTAGTTAGTGTTTACACTTTCGATGAAAATGTCATAGTATTTTTACCCAGCATATTACTTACTTACTGCAATTACTCGCTGACGAGTATTTGACATGCATCAGAAGATAGTTACGCAAGGTATTTTCTATCATGAGCTTCTCTGTTACTGAAAAGCCCGATACATGATGCTATCTGTCTTCCGCCACACCGGACATTTAAAAATCGTATTACTTTGTTGCCGCACTTTACTTCTTGATTGTTTTTGTTAACTGAGTTTACATTGTTTCTTCTACATTGCGCTCTATTGTGCTTCTTTTCACTGATTCTGTACCTATGCTTATCCTCTTTAATTTCTTGTGGATACCTTTTGAGTTGTCCACCCGGTTTCCTTTTATCTCTATCTGTTTCTTAACAGTTGTCAGTGCAACTAGCTTGTGTCCATGTTGCACTGCATGCGTTAATGTGCTGGCGGTACGGCACCCAGGTTTCGCTTCCATATAACATGGTGGGGATTATTATTGCTCGGTGTACTGCAAATTTCATTTTTGTGCTTAAGTCATGATTGTAGAAAAATCTGTCTTAATTTCCAGAATGCTCTTGGGGCGCTGGCGCTGCTAATTCTGTGCTGAATTTCAGAGTCGATATTGGCCTTTTCCAAAATTAAACTACCGAGGTAATTAAATTCCGCTACGTATTCCAATAGTTCTTCTCAAATTTTTATAGCATTGTTGTGATTTTCCGGGGAGTACACATGAATTTAGTTTTATCGGTATTCAGCTTAAGGCTCAAAGCCTTGTATGTCCAGGTATATGTGTTCAGCATTTCTTGTAATTGCTGTAACGATTTTGCAACTAGAGCGCAGTCATCAGCGTATTGAAGTTCAATACGCTGATGGTATTGAAGTTCTGCAATGCATTTTATACGTGGTTTTGCCCTGAGTCTTTTTATGTTGAAAAGACAGCCGTCATACCCATTCATATGCTCATTGTTTTATAGCTCCCATCAAGCATATATACGCAAACAGACACACCCTATATCTTTTAAACTGAACATCACAAAATAAGATTTAATTATCACTTTATATCAAACTATTTATTCAGCAGTTTACTTAACAAAATATATTAAAAAACATATAAAGAAACGATGGACCTACTTCTAGAAATACATATTTTCAATCTTCTATTTTTATTCTATTTGGTTTAAGAAATAATTTTAATTTAAAGTGTTCTGCGACTTGAATTTTTGTGATATATAGCTTGCTTTTTTACGATTTAAGGCCTCGATTTAAGGCCTCACAACCTATCTGCTATAAAGTGTTCTTGAATAGTTCTATTTAGATATTTTAAATAGTTCGTTCTTAGTTTTTTGTATTTTTTTGAAGGAGATATACCTCCCGAAGTTAAGCATTGTTTGTCGGTAAGGTAAATTTGCTTTACTATAAAAAAGGAACTGCCAGCTGGCGTCCGTTTGGATTGAACGCAGTGGTGTTTATGAAAACAGCATTTTTATTTTGAAAAATTTGGTCCACTGGCGAAAAATCTAGAATTCTTTTTAAGATATAAAACTGCCACAAAGGTAAAGATATTTTATTAATTAAATTAATTTTAGCTGGTATTTGTTTTAGACCCAAAGAATAACCGGTGACGGACAAGGCTGGGTGGATATGGGCGATAGTCCCATATTCGGGACTGATAGTTCAAACTACATTACTATCGCACCAGTACGCGATGGTCCAGCCGGGACGTTTAGACATGCGGTGTCCGTGAACATTCCTAAGAAACGGACGATACCGTTAACACATGGAAAGTTCGAAGTTCAAAGGATATTAACGTGGGATCATTCGAACGATGTAATGTAAGTACACTGTCATCTTAGATCATATACAGGATTAGTCTTAAATAAGTGTAAATATTTTTAGGGGTACTATATTTCGACTCCAGAAACACGAAGAAAAGTTTGGAATTTTTGAAAAACTATTTGGAATTTTTTGATAATATGCCAATATAGGTAGTAGAATAAATTTACAAGAACGAAAACACAGAAAAGCTCTAATGGTTCTCAAAATTTGAATATTTTTTTTTAAATTATCAAAATAAAATAACTTCGTTATTTTGGACTTATTTGAAAAACGGTAAAGAGAAAATAAGTTTCTTTTATCGAGATCTACCCACCCTGAAAATATTTGCACTTATTTAAGTCTCACCCGGTATAATATTCGGATAAAAACACTAGTTAAACATTTTCGGAGTTTTTGGAAGAGTACTCTGGTTCTCCCTTTACCCAAAACTGATAATATTCAATCCTTAAATCATGTTTGTCCGATTAGCAACTTACGTATCATTTTTAAGATTTTGGAATGAGTTTTAAAACCTCAGCTTGAGTATTGTTAGAGGAGTAGGTTATAAAAAATTGTATAATTCCGGAAAGTTAGTCAGGTTTCAAAAGTACAGCTGTACGACCAATTTGCTAAAAGTCTCTTCTTAATACTATTATTTCGGCAACTGATAAGGGCAAAGTTACTGTATTATGTTTTTTTTTTCAAAGCCTTTTGACATCCTTAACCATTACATAATGTCATCAATACTTTTTTATATTAGGCTGTCCAACAATGTACGCCACCTTCTGATGTTTAGTTTTTTATGACTTGAGTACAAAAACAAAACTTGTAGTGTACCGAGCAATTATAATCCCCACTATGTTATATGGGAGCGAAACCTGGGTGCCGTACCGCCGACACATGAACGCATTAAACAAGTTGCAACAGAGACACCTTAGACAACTTTTAAGAATCTGCTGGTTTCATCATGTCTCAAACGTGTCGGTCCTTGAAAAAACTAACTGCGAGAGTACTGAAGTCATGGTTACAAAATCCCGCTTGAGATGGGCTGGTCACGTATGCAGAATGCAGGAAAACCGCATACCAAAATATCTGCTTTACGGTGAGCTTGTAGACGGTAAGAGGACGCCGGGTGGACAACTCAAAAGGTACAAAGACATTTTCCACGAAAACTTAAAGGAGATTAATATGCAGAATGAGTGGGAAGAAACAGCTCACAATAGAACTCAATGGAGAAGAATTGTAAACTCAGTTAACAGCGACAACCAAAAAGTAAAGAGGCAACAAAGCAATGAGATTTTTGAATGTCCAGAATGCGGTAGACAGATCACATATCACGTATCGGGCTTTTCAGTCACAGAAAAGCTCATGAAAAAAAACGCCTTGCGTGACCATCTTCTAATGTGTGTCGAATACTGGTCAGCGAGTAATGGCATAATATATGTAGTAGTTTTTTATGCCAGAGAAAACAAGCGGTGGAATATAAAAATGAGATTTCGTCTTTTTTGGATATAGATATTGGTGTTCCCCAGGGATCGATCCTAGATGTACTACTTTTCAGTATTTATATTTGCAGATTTCCTGATTTTATTTTATCTTGCCGTGAACATTTTTCTACTCTCTCACAAATAAAAATAGTGGTCCGAACTGTATTCCGGAAACTCTCGCAGTATATTCTGCAGATAAAAATAAGTAGTAAAAAAGTTCGTATAAATGTATGTCCTAAAATGCTGAGTTTTGGAGATACAGCGTATAGAAGTTTAATTTTTATTTCGATTTTTTCCAAATAATTTCTGAACTAACGTCAATATTTGGATGAAAATTGGCACACTTACAGTTTGACAAATGATCTTGAATATCGGAAGAGACTTGGGGATAGCACCGCTCGCGCACACGATAGAGAGAGAACGCATTCGGCGGAAGAGAGATGCAGTTACGCTACGACAAATCTGATTAAAGCAAATTTGTGTGCTGTCCACTGCGCATCGAGGGGCGTCTCTTATTTTATATTTCTCACGTCTCTAGCTATACTTGTTAAGTTGTACATGTGTTTTTACTGTTTTGAAGAGTAATAACTTTTCGTTCGCACCTGTATAAAACTACTGAGTGAAAAAATATACATTTCTTAATGTAACAGTTTCTGTTGAACTTTTGGCACAAAAACATTTCAAATTTATGATGTCAGTCTAATAACTATTTAGCCAACATGTTTAATTTATACCAATGATGACAGGTATTGATAAATTCGATTCTAAATATCTCGAGGACCATTACACGTAGCCATTTTTACAGACACTTTTTTAACGTAAAAAACGTGGTAAATTTATATTTTTTACTCGGTAGTTTTATACAGGTACGGACAAAAAGTTATTACACTTCAACCCAGTTAAAAAATATGTATGTAGCGCCCTCTACAAGTAGGAATCATATTGACATCAAAATCAAATTTCTCATGCCAAAAAACTCCCAGACACCAATTTTCATCCAAATATTGACGTTACTTCAGACATTATTTCGAAAAAATCGAAATAAAAATGAAACTTCTACACCCTGTATCTCTGAAACTAAGCCCATTTTAGGACATACATTTATACGAACTTTTTCATTCATTTTTATCTGCAGAATATGTTGCCGAAGTTTCTGGAATACAGTTCGGTCCACCCTGTATACAGAGTGTCCCAGAAATAAGTGCAAGTATTTTAACTGGTAGTATATTTCGACCTCAGAAACACGCCTATGAGGTTTTTTTGCGAAAAAAAATTGAAAATTTGGAATTTTTTGAAGAAAATTTTGATTTTTTTTTAATTTTAAGTTAAAAAACATAATTTCTTGATAATATGGCAACATAAGTAGTAGATTAAATTTACATGAAAGAAAATGCAGAAAAGATCCAGTGGTTCTCAAAATTTAAGCAATAAACATTTTTTGTTTAAATTTTCAAAGTAAAATAACTCGGTTATTTTGGACTTACTTGAAAAACGGCAATATTTCTTTTGACCAGATCTACCCCTTAAAATACTTGCACTTATTTCTGGGACCCCCTTTAAACGAAAGCTCTCAGGCTGTTTCAGCTATTAATTTTGATTTACATAATATATCTAAAGCTGTCAGGAATCATTGTCTCAAGTTAAGCTCTAATGCCGGGTCCAAACCAAGGCGACAAAAAGTAAACAAGATTTTGAGACCAAAACAAGACAAACTTGTCACAAAAAAGTCTGGAGTCTTCTGACAAGAAAAACTTGAGACAAATTGTCAACATCGCAATGACAAAAGTACAACAAAGTCAAAAGGTTAGTTGTTGCGAATGAGTTTAATTAACGATGTGTGATTTCACTGGTCTCCTACTGTTGGCAGCATCGCCATCCACACTGCGCCGACAACTGTCGCAAAATATACGAACAAAATATAGACATTTTGATCTTTACCGACTCGAGACGGGACATTGAAAAGTCTCCGAATTTTGAAACAAAACAAAAATGTGGCAGAAATGTATTGGATTTGTCACAACTTTGTCGTAAAACATAAATGTTTCTGCCTTGTCACTGTTTTGTCTGCTTGGTCTGGACCCGGCATGACAAACCTGTAACAATATACTTCGGTACGGGTTACGATCGAAAATACTCTTTAGACGACTTTAGTAGCCAAATTCAAATTGAAGTCAGTCAGTTAAATTGGTTGACCATTTAACAAGTATAGGCACAGTTTAAAGAATATAAATATATCAGTTGACCCACTCTTCGCCCGTATCAAAGTTCCTCCCGCCGCTCCCCGCCTGTCTTGTAGATTTGGGTCAGTCTACATCCGTTGCTCGACGTGTACACAGCGTTCCAAGTTTATTTTAGTTTTGTTTTCGGTCCGACGCATATGGTGAACCAAAAATAGTGTTTTAGTTGTTTTGTTCGAATTGTGAATAAAATGTCTACTAGAAATATTTGTGCAGTGGATGGTTGTGAAAGTAGAATAACAGACAATATATCGTTCTTTAGGTGCCCAAAAGATGAAGGAAGGTATGTGTTTATATAATATAGGATATTAAGTATATATAATAATTAAAGTATTAGACATATTAAGTATATTATAATTATGGAAACCTAACTATGAATAAATTGTTTTAAAAATATACATATAAATTAAGAAAAGATTTTACTCGAAATATGCAAAAAATATTTATTTTTAACAATTAGTATATTATTTTAGTAGATATTTTAGAGTAGTAGTAGATACTTTACTATTATGTTTTGGATTTTGCAGTATTTACCGATTTGCAAAGTGCATATTAAATTATTTTTTAAGATATTTGCATTTTTTTAAATAGCATGTTTTACTTTTTAGATTTTTTTTTCTTTGCTACCTACCTGGAAAGTCCAAATTTTATCGTCAGGTAATAAAAATACGTGCATACAACTTGTTCTGCTATTGACAAGTTTTTTAGAGTTTTTACTAAATTTTATGTAACAGTAAATATGACAATTGACGAGCACATGGGAAAAACGATTTGTATCCAGAAATGATAAATGTTCAGGAAACTGTTTTTTTTAATTCAAATTACGCATGGACTTTTATATCCGAGTTTATATCGTTTTTCCCATTTTTAAGTGCCTGTTTCTATGTGGCCGTTGTCGATATTCCCGTTTATTTAGGTACCAAAAGGTGTAGCTCCCCCCCTTTTTTTTGGTACTTCCATTATTTTTCCCGTGTGCTCTTCAATTAGTAGTAAATACTGTAATAAATAATATTTGCATATTTCTTAACTTATACCATGTTTTGCTTTTTAGCTGTTTGCATTTAACTTGAATTATCTATCTTTTTATCAAAAGGTAATAAAAAGTACTTGGATACAACTTATCTTGCCATTGTCAATTTTTTTTTTCAGTTTTTACTAAATTTTATCGAACAGTAAAATTTATTACACAATTAACTACTAACAGTCATAATTACTGTTCATGATAATCATAAAATTTAGAAAAAATTCCAAAAAAATTGACAATGGCAACACAAGTTGTATGCAAAGGTACTT